TAGTTATTCCAGTTGCTGAGGGCCACTAGATCTAGATCAGGGGCGGGGTCATATGAGCCTGTTAAAGGGGCCACAGCCAATCACCAGGGAAGGGACGGTCCGAATCTATTCCAAAACACAGAATCTGGCAGGAAAAGGATCCCTAAGGTGTGACATATGAACAACAATGTTACATAGAACGTCAGATCGCACTTCATGGTTCATGTCCTTACCGTACTTACCATGGGCTGCTGAGGGGCCAGTGCTTGCATACCGAGCCCGGGGGGCTGCCCTTGTGTCTGCGCTTGTGGCACGGATGCTACTTGCTGAGGTGGTGGCTGTGGCGGAGCCTGCGGCTGTGGAGGTGCTTGTTGTTGCTGCTGCTGTTGTTGCTGCTGCTGCTGTTGCTGCTGTTGTTGTTGTTGTTGTTGTTGTTGCTGTTGTTGTTGTTGCTGCTGCTGCTGTTGTTGCTGCTGCTGTTGTTGCTGCTGCTGCTGCTGCTGTTGCTGCTGGAAAAGGAGAATGCGCTCAGCACGGGAGCCCGGCGTTCCCTTTCCCACCACACCGACCATTGACTCGCTTACCCGTAACATCTGCTGCTGCCTCAGATACTGCTGCTGCTGCTGCTGCTGTTCTGGTAACATCTGAGTGGGCCGTACCGCAGCTTGTACTGTCTGCGCGGTCATGTGACCCATCCCGGACATCATGCTGGCCTGCGGCATCTGTTGGTGCTGGAATCTGAAGGAACATGGAGAGGAGATCACACGCAGTTGGCTTTGCTGTGGCGGATTCGCACGTTCAGAAGCGGCACCCGCGCACTTACCTCTGTCCGGTCTGCGGGTTGTGGGCGTAACCCGACGCTTGTTGGTGGACATAGCCGCTCGGCCGCTGCTGCATCTGACGCACGGGGTCCAGGAGGGTTCCGCCTGAAGGCGGGAGGGAACCGCCGTACGATTGGGCGCCGTAAGCAGGCGGCACCAGACCGCCACCCTGAGATGGAGGAGGGTGCTGCTGCATGGCCACGTGGGAAGTGTATGTTGTATAACCCTAGACAGAGGACAGACATCAAAACTTGTACAAAGTCACATAGAAAAGACGCAAATCAATGCAGTTCGGGATCCATAAATGTCTGGCCCCTTGCCTGTACAGCAGGGCTCAGACAGAGGTGAGCTGCATGCAAATGTAATGACAAGGCTGATAGATAAAAAGCAGAGTGATGAGCTCATCAGTCTTCTGCTGCTCCTTTACTGCCCAGTCACAGGTTGGGGGTGGAGAGACAGGACCCCACTGTACAACCTATAAGTGGTGTCATCCACCCGGCTGTTGCTTTGCGGTAGAGCTTTATAAATCTCAGGACTGGATAGACAGAATGTGTGTTTAGTCGCCTGCCTGGAGTTCAACTTTAATCAACTGACGCGATCCAGGAGTGCGAATGATTAATGAACGACTACACCACGTACCTGGGAGGGCGTCATAGAGCCGTACGGAGCTGTGGGCGTCATCTGTCGGACAGGCTGGCCCATCATTCCCTGCGTCTGCTTAGGAAGGAAAGAAGGGATAATAAATGCAGAATATACACACACATATATACAGAGACACGCACAGAGACACGCACGCACACACACACACACAGAGACACACACACACACACACACACACACACACAGACACGCACACACACACACACACACACAGAGACACGCACACACACACACACAGACACACACAGAGACACGCACACACACACACACAGAGACACACACACAGAGACACGCACACAGAGACACACACACACACACACACAGAGACACGCACACACACACACACAGAGACACACACACAGACACACACACACACAGACACACACACACACACACACACACACAGAGACACGCACACACACACACACAGAGACACACACACAGACACACACACACACAGACACACACACACACACACACACACACAGAGACACGCACACACACACACACAGAGACACACACACAGACACACACACACACAGACACACACACACACACACACACACACAGAGACACACACACACACAGTGACACACACACACACACACACACAGAGACACACACACACGCACACATATACATTGGCCGAACTGCCATCAACTCTTCTGTACAGCAGCCTTAAAGACCATTTATCAGACAGGTATAAAAAGTTTCTACTGCTCTCCGTGACCCAGTTGGGGAGATTTCATCCCATTTCCTGTCCCTATGACAAATGAACAGGAAATGAGGGGAGTGGTTGTCACCGGAACATGAAGACACAGAACCGTAACAACAACCAACCTTCACAATTTAATTAAAAAAATGTTTAGTGGCAGTCTGGTGGAGAGGTTTCCTATCACTTCCTGTCCTGGCAGGAAGGGAGGACGCGGAGAAGGCAGGAAGAGAGGACGCGGAGAAGGCAGGAAGAGAGGACGCGGAGAAGGCAGGAAGAGAGGACGCGGAGAAGGCAGGAAGAGAGGACGCGGAGAAGGCAGGAAGAGAGGACGCGGAGAAGGCAGGAAGAGAGGACGCGGAGAAGGCAGGAAGAGAGGACGCGGAGAAGGCAGGAATAAAGGACGCGGAGAAGGCAGGAAGAGAGGACGCGGAGAAGGCAGGAAGAGAGGACGTGGAGAAGGCAGGAAGAGAGGACGCGGAGAAGGGGGAGTCCCTTCCCCCTCACCATTGTTAAAAAATAAAATTGGCCGGGTTGAGTTTTAAACCAGAAAAGTAACCTCAGAGCCCAGCAGGAGACGAGGAATTTGACGGTCCAGGAAGTGTGTCGTATGACTAGGATATCCCGGGCATTGGAGGCAGGGGAGTATGAAGTGTCTTCTGTACGGGGAATGCAGCGTGTGCCCAGAGACCGGGGGGCTCCCACTGCGAGTTTCTACACACGGGCCGCGCATACTTACCAGCTTGGCCTGCAGGTGCTGCCTCAGTAGCTGTCCTTGAGGGATCGGAGGCTGCTGCTGCTGCTGCTGCTGCTGCTGCCGGTACAACATGGGCTTATAGGATTCAATCATCCCTCCTACGCCTGGTGGTACACCTCCATAGGGAGGCCGAGTCGGGACCACCTTCACCATATTCATCCGAGGCGGTCGGTATGTATCCAGCCGGGGACCACCTGAGTGCGGGAACGGAAGGAGTGAAGATGGCAGCAAAATATAAAACATCATCGGGTTGTAAAGTGAAGAGCGAAGAACGGTCTCATGATGGGTGACGCGCGCTGTACTCACCGGGCGGCAGGGGCTGGTTCTGGGCATACACACTCTGTGCTCCATATGGAAGGCGTGACATGGTGGGCGCCCCTTGCTGATGCAGCAGGTCGGTGGGAACTCCCATCTGATACGGGATGGGACGTCCTGCGCCGAGTCCGAAATCCTGAGTGGAAGACGACATCCGATGTCAGCAAAGCAAAAGATAATAAAATAACCTGACAGGGTTATGCTGCCGCCTACAGGAGGATCAATACACCGATATGTAGAAAAACTGTAGGCCAGTCCAGGATAGCACCTCCGCCTCCCAGCATGCCTCAGTGTGTAGCCAAGCCGTACCAAGAGCATGATCAGAAACAGAGGGGTGCGACCCGTGTCCCTCAATGGACTCCAACAAAAGGATCTTACAGCGAGTACAAAATCCTATCTCCTTTCTCATCCATTGAGAGGCACAGGAAGTCCTTAAAGGAGAACTATGAGGGGGGGATGAGACTGAGAGAACACATACCGGCGTTCGCTCACTTCTCGATCCTGTCACGGCTCTCTGCCGTGACAGGGGAGCAACTGGATTGCCCCCTCCCCGCTCTGCCAGCGCTGACTGGCGGAACAGACGGGGGAGGGGGCGGGTACAGCCTCTAGATAGGCAGAGCCAGCTGTCACTCACGCAGCTGGGCGGACCCCGGCACAATTGTCGGGATCCGGCTGCGGCGTCTCAGTATACCGCGAGCTGCAGCTCTATATATACTGAGCCTAGGGTGACGGGAGGACGCTAGTTTGTGTCCTCCCGTTACCCTGAGGAGAACTATGGGGGAAAGCCCTGACCTCAGATTTCTCCTTTAACAGGCCCATGAAAACATACTGGGGAGAACTGGGGAGCGCTGCACCCCGAAGCTCAATGCAACATCCATTCTAGCAGGGTGAGGGTGCTCCACCCCCGAGGATGACCATGACAGATCGCTGCCATGCAAAAGACCGGTCTCCATGCAACGAGGTAGAGAAGAGTCTGGATTGAACGTAATTGACGTAGTGTTGGCAAAACAACAGAATTATAATTCCTGAACACAGCGGACGATGAGAAGACCTCCATCCTCCTAGGAGACTAGCAAAAACCTGATGCATGCTGGGAGTAGGAGGGATCATCAGTTTGTTTGCCAGTGTCCAGTCCTCCTGTAGGTGGCAGCATAACCCTGAAGACCCGCCGAGTCTCTCGCTGTATAAGACGTACAGAAGAAGAGACCCTCGAGAATTACCTCGCCCTTGTTTGCTGCCGCTCGGCTTTTCTTTTTCTTGCTCGGCTTTTTGCGGTCTTCGTTGCCGCCGGTGCAGCCCGTTGCACTTTTCTCCACCTTCAGCGGCTCGCTCAGTTTCTTGTCTGGCTCGCTGCTTGTGGGGGTGGGCGGCTCCTCGTCCTCCGGCGGGAGGGAGAGGGGCTCCAGGTAGTAGGTGCGCGCCTTCGGCTTGAGGTGAGTGTGGTACAGAAGTAAACGTTGCTGCTCCTCCAACCGAGACACGCGCCTGTCCACGCGCACCGTCCCAAACCAGCCCCAGGACAGAGGAGCCGACTGCTTCAATCCTTCAAACAGGTCCCAAGGGGAAATCTTTTGCTTGGTGGAGACTTGAAGCCCCTGAAAATGATGACAGATAAAAAACAAAATGACATAGTGTGGTGTACGGTACGAAGACTGAACTCCAGGAAAACAGCTACATGCAGATATGGCAGCCAATATACCCACCAAAGGTGTATTCCTGCCCAGACCCTCCTCAGATTTACACTGCTCTACCACATAGTGGAACCAGATAGTGCCCTGACTCTCTCTGCCACATGCAAGTAGCACTTACAGGTCTTCCCCCCTTCCCCCCTATATATGACTGAACAGGACTCCTCTCTTTGTCCTCCTATCAGCATGCCCCTTGACATGAGCACAACCCCTAATGCTGTTCCTCCCTCCCCCATCCTGAGCTCTGCTGTCCAGGGACTGCAAGTCAAATTCATGTACTTACGCGGCTTTCATTTACAAAAAAACATTTATATAATGAAGTGTTATTGAATATTGAGCTGCACGAGTCCGTCTCTGACGGCTGCCTGGAATTCAGCTTTAAACTGGCAGGAAGTACAACCCCTGAACCGAGCTGACACAGGAAGTCATAGAGGTTCCTGGTCACATGACACTCACCTCTTTCTTGAAGATGGAGTCAAAGCCGGCAATCTTGTTTCCTTTGGTGTCGATCAGAGATCCCTGCGGCTCACATGTGATCACGTCTCTCATCTGCTTTGGTAGCGGCAACAACTGGCGCACTTTCTCCAGACTTTCCGACTGCCGGTCCCCCAACTCCTTCTAAAGGGAGAGCGCGACAAATGGCATAGGGTGCAACGCAGGAAGGCGAGAGAGAGAGAGGGGGAGAGGAGGAGAGAGGGGGGGGGTGAGGAATGAAGGAGGGAGAAGATGAGAGGGGGAGAGAGAGAGGAAGGAGGGAGTAGATGAGAGGGGGAGAGAGAGAGGAAGGAGGGAGTAGATGAGAGGGGGAGAGAGAGAGGAAGGAGGGAGTAGATGAGAGGGGGAGAGAGAGAGGAAGGAGGGAGTAGATGAGAGGGGGAGAGAGAGAGGAAGGAGGGAGTAGATGAGAGGGGGAGAGAGAGAGGAAGGAGGGAGTAGATGAGAGGGGGAGAGAGAGAGGAAGGAGGGAGTAGATGAGAGGGGGAGAGAGAGAGGAAGGAGGGAGTAGATGAGAGGGGGAGAGAGAGAGGAAGGAGGGAGTAGATGAGAGGGGGAGAGAGAGAGGAAGGAGGGAGTAGATGAGAGGGGGAGAGAGAGAGGAAGGAGGGAGTAGATGAGAGGGGGAGAGAGAGAGGAAGGAGGGAGTAGATGAGAGGGGGAGAGAGAGAGGAAGGAGGGAGTAGATGAGAGGGGGAGAGAGAGAGGAAGGAGGGAGTAGATGAGAGGGGGAGAGAGAGAGGAAGGAGGGAGTAGATGAGAGGGGGAGAGAGAGAGGAAGGAGGGAGTAGATGAGAGGGGGAGAGAGAGGAAGGAGGGAGAAGATGAGAGGGGGAGACACAAAATGGTGCAGATTACCCGAAGCTTCTTCACCAGGTTCATGTACGCTCTCTTGTTCTCCTCCATGCTGCCCTGGGAAATGCTGGACATATCAGCCGCCAGGGTCCCATTGATCAGCACACTCAGCATGTCCAGCACTGTGGTGAAGAGCTCGCTGTAAGGAAAGAAATGGGGATGGATACGGATTGTATGTGTTACTGCGATTGTTACATTGTGGGAATTGAGATACAGCGATAGGTTCCTGCGCCCCTCGACTCATCCTCCTCCTTCATTACAGCCCATTGGGAGAAGCACGTAGGGGGCGGGGTCAAGTCTGACGGGGAGTGTCTATCTGACATCAATAAAGCTTGTGGCAGCAAAGTACAGAAGAGTGCTGCTTGTGTGTATGGGGGAGTGGCAAGGGGAAGCCATTGACACCCCGTATTGATGGTCATTGGGTCAAACAAGCTCATGTACGTGTGGAGCTCAGGGGGCCACAAACTATTGGTCATATAATGCATGCTACACCTAGGCACACAGGGTGGGGACATCGGAGATCACTCAACAAACAAGGGACATTACTTGTTAGATTGCATGTCCACAGTGCCGCTGCTGATGATATCCAGAAGTAGTACGGCCCATTCGGTGGTCTGCTGGGTGCTCCGCTGGACGGTGTCAAACATGCCCCCCACCTGGAGATAAAAGAGGAACGTTATAAAGACCCAAAACCAGCAGAAATGCTCCGAGCCGTACGCACAGCAACATAATGAGGGGCGACGGATATTACACGTATGAGAAAGTAATGAGACGACTCACCAGGTTCAGCCGGAGCTTCAACACTTCATGCAGCAGCTGCGGGGTCTTACAGTCATCCTGATATTGGTCTTCTCGCCAGTTACTGACAATCTGACAAACAGACAATTACAATGCGTGACGCGCCGCCATACTGGAGACTTCATGTGTTCTATACGTGTGTGGACACGCGACCATCTATTAGGAGCTTGTTGGACATCCCATTCCAATGCCAGGGCCACTAATATGGAGTCGCGCTCCTCCAGGGCCAGTATTATGGAGTTGCGCTCCTCCAGGGCCAGTATTATGGAGTTGCGCTCCTCCAGGGCCAGTATTATGGAGTTGCGCTCCTCCAGGGCCAGTATTATGGAGTTGCGCTCCTCCAGGGCCAGTATTATGGAGTTGCGCTCCTCCAGGGCCAGTATTATGGAGTTGCGCTCCTCCAGGGCCAGTATTATGGAGTTGCGCTCCTCCAGGGCCAGTATTATGGAGTTGCGCTCCTCCAGGGCCAGTATTATGGAGTTGCGCTCCTCCAGGGCCAGTATTATGGAGTTGCGCTCCTCCAGGGCCAGTATTATGGAGTTGCGCTCCTCCAGGGCCAGTATTATGGAGTTGCGCTCCTCCAGGGCCAGTATTATGGAGTTGCGCTCCTCCAGGGCCAGTATTATGGAGTTGCGCTCCTCCAGGGCCAGTATTATGGAGTTGCGCTCCTCCAGGGCCAGTATTATGGAGTTGCGCTCCTCCAGGGCCAGTATTATGGAGTTGCGCTCCTCCAGGGCCAGTATTATGGAGTTGCGCTCCTCCAGGGCCAGTATTATGGAGTTGCGCTCCTCCAGGGCCAGTATTATGGAGTTGCGCTCCTCCAGGGCCAGTATTATGGAGTTGCGCTCCTCCAGGGCCAGTATTATGGAGTTGCGCTCCTCCAGGGCCAGTATTATGGAGTTGCGCTCCTCCAGGGCCAGTATTATGGAGTTGCGCTCCTCCAGGGCCAGTATTATGGAGTTGCGCTCCTCCAGGGCCAGTATTATGGAGTTGCGCTCCTCCAGGGCCAGTATTATGGAGTTGCGCTCCTCCAGGGCCAGTATTATGGAGTTGCGCTCCTCCAGGGCCAGTATTATGGAGTTGCGCTCCTCCAGGGCCAGTATTATGGAGTTGCGCTCCTCCAGGGCCAGTATTATGGAGTTGCGCTCCTCCAGGGCCAGTATTATGGAGTTGCGCTCCTCCAGGGCCAGTATTATGGAGTTGCGCTCCTCCAGGGCCAGTATTATGGAGTTGCGCTCCTCCAGGGCCAGTATTATGGAGTTGCGCTCCTCCAGGGCCAGTATTATGGAGTTGCGCTCCTCCAGGGCCAGTATTATGGAGTTGCGCTCCTCCAGGGCCAGTATTATGGAGTTGCGCTCCTCCAGGGCCAGTATTATGGAGTTGCGCTCCTCCAGGGCCAGTATTATGGAGTTGCGCTCCTCCAGGGCCAGTATTATGGAGTTGCGCTCCTCCAGGGCCAGTATTATGGAGTTGCGCTCCTCCAGGGCCAGTATTATGGAGTTGCGCTCCTCCAGGGCCAGTATTATGGAGTTGCGCCCCTCCATGGCCAGTAATAGGGAGTCGCGCCCCCCCATGGCCAGTTATATGGAGTCGCGCCCCTCCATGGCCAGTAATATGGAATTGCCCGCCCCCCCATTGCCAGTTATATGGAGTTGCGCCCATTAGTGACTGCTCGGGTAGCTCAGTCATTATATGAAGATAGAAAAGTCACGGGGTCTGGGGGTTGGAGGAAGGAGACACAAGCTGTACACATCACTCTGGCACACATTGTGCTGCAGGAACCGGGTGACATTTTCCTGTCCCCTCCCCCCCCTTACAGACAATCCCCTGCGCCTGCCGTCTATAAGCCCTCGTTCACACCGGAACGTTTTGTAGCGCGTTCTACGCTCGGCGAACGCTCTACAAAACGCTCAAACATCTAAATCCCATTGTAGTCAATGGGCTCGTTCCCACCTCGGCGGATTTCCGCCCGTCCCTAACGCGCTACAAAACGGCCCACGCCTGAAAAGGTACAGGTACTACTTTGGGCCGTTTTGTTGCGCGTTTCCATTGGGATACAGCCAAGTAGCCTTCGGAAACGCGCGTTTGTCGCGCGACTTGACGCGCATATGCAATACGCCTGGGTGTGAACGAGACCTTAGGGCTGACTGCAAGCAGGAGACAAACGGTGACTTCCCGTGATGGTTGGCCTGTATGTCTAATCTATTTATCTGTTAGGTGACATGGGGTGTAATGGGGTCATTGCAGCAAAATGAGTTCAAATCAAAAAGCTGGGTCGGTAGAATCCATGGCCGTGTATAAAACCCGGTCCGGGATCCACAGGGGGGGCTCCAAAGGAACACTGGAAGCAATGTCAAGACTCCCGCAGGTACTTTCAGGCCGCACAAGCTGGCAGAACTGTGATCTGAGACGAGGGTCGGGGTCCCGTTAACCCTAAAATCTAACCCAACCTCCCAAAATAAGACTGAACTGAACCTTTACAGATATACAAGCCCCCTACCCCCCCCCCCGCTCTGACATTGGGGGGCACTTACCTGCTGTACTTGAGCATGAAGAGATGCCAGCAGCCCCTCCCTCTGCTCATCTTGTCCCTTTAAACAAGTCAGTACCAGAGACAGAAATGGTTGCTGGCTGAGCAAAGACATGCTGGAAAGAGAAATAAAATATCAATTTGTAGGTGAAAAAAAAGATCCATTGACGTGAAATTGAAACTTCTGCACCCCAAAACTTCCGGAATTGTTCAAGGAGAACTATGGGGGGAGGATGATCTCCTCTCATCCTCATAGTTGGAGCCGACCTGTGACAATGAGACTGTCACAGGTCGGCTCAGTAGATCGGGAGGTGAGAGAACACATACCGGCGTTCGCTCACTTCTCGATCCTGTGCCGGCAGAGAGCCGTGACAGGGGAGTGACTGGATTCCCCCCTCCGATCCTCCAGCGCTGACTGGCGGAACGGACGGGGGAGGGGGGCGGGTACAGCTGTCAATCATGCAGCTGGGTGGATCTCTACAGTAATTGTCAGGATCTGTCCCGGCTGCGGCGTCTCAGTATACCGCGAGCTGTAGCTCCCTATATACTGAGCTTAGGGTGACGGGAGGACGCTAGTTTGTGTCCTCCCGTGACCCTGAGGAGAACTATGGGGAAAAGCCCTGACCTTGTAGTTTTCCTTTCAGTAATATAACACAAGAAGCCGAGCGTGCAAATAAAAGAGCTCAATGCTTCCTATTCACTGCAATGCTGTGCAAAGTGCCTGGAACTGCCCATCCGGGGCCCCCATTCACAGATCGCAGTGATTGGCCCCTGATCTGCCTTCCTTTCCTCAGGGCCCAATCAGCATTAAGCCGGTACAGCAGCGGGTTCATTTCTTGCTTCTTCGCCAGCCATTCACATATGTGGCATGGTGGCATGAGGACGACACATGTACACTTGCAGCCGGAGGGGAAATGGTTAAAACGCATCCCCCCCACATGTGAGCATATTAATCAGAAGCCAACGTTCGGGTGAATAAAACGTCTCACCTCTTCTGCTTCTGGCGGTCCCGCTCCTTGCGTGAAGACGAGCCGAGGTGTTGTCCTTTTTCCAGCTCCTCACCGGCCGCCTTCAGCACGTGGCCTTGGACGGATGTGGGCAGCTTGGCAATCAGAGGGGCCACCAGCCACACTCCGGACCTCTCCAATGCACTGAACAGAAGAGAAGACTTGTGAA